CCCAGGGAACAGCTGCCCAGTGGCTGGGTGCTCAGGTACACAGAGAGAGCAGCCCTTTTTGCGGCATTTCATTACACCATTAATTTTAGGATGCAACAAATCATTCTCAGAAGGTCTGTCTTTGTCTGGGAGCCTGTATGACTCATTTAAATATTGTATTTATCTTTTAGACTGCTTAAGTTATGTATGGACATTAGCCTCAGATCCCCCCAAAAACAGAACTGTGAAGAAAGAGGGGACCTGGAGGTGTACCTTCTTGTGACACCTCCAGTCCAGTACTTACTGCCTGGAACTGGAGACCAGCGAGGAGGATGCTCACAAAACTGCCAATATTGTGCCATCCTATGTCTGGAAAGTATATGCATAAAATATTTGTAGATCCCCTAATTAGCTATGGTACAATGTCATGGAGGCAAGAAGGGAAATTCTGCAACACCACACAGAAACAAAAGTAACATCTGCAGTAAGATGGTGGCATGACATGGTAACACTGATAGTAAAGCTCTGAAACATAAACCTACATAGGAAGAAAATCCTGTCCCCTTGAATACATTTCCAGTGTTTCAGTGCTTCCCTAGAAGAAGTAGGCACTAGAGACTGATGGGCTCCCATACCTCATTATAGGCTATTACTCTTTCCAGCCCACTCTTCTCCTGGATCAGCACCGTGGCACTGTTGGAAAGGAAACACAAGCAATGCTGTTTACCTGATAACAGCCGTTCCTGAGCCACAGTCGAACCTGAACTCCACGTAACCAGCCACCATGTTAATGGATAGGAAGTCCTTGCTGTCTGTGTCGTAGCTGTACAAAAGGACACCAGTCTCTAAATCTGGTCGAAATGTCATCTCAAACTCCATGAAGGAAAGATAATGCTGTGGTTCCAAGGGCCAGGGTGTGCTAGCAAATGACCTTAAGGACTCGTTGAACTGAGGTATGGCCAAGGTGAGTGCTGGAAATCCAGAATACACAAGCAGGTCACTTGAGGCTCAAAGGTTAGGGATTGACTCCTACCAACCAGCGTCAGTTCCCTTTGTTAGGTACTTAAAGCTAACACTAAGAAAAACAACCTAAGAATTTAGTCTTCCAAATGATTATTTTTTTTTTCCCAGTCTTAGCCAACTCTGCTTCCCTTCTTAATCCCTTCCTTTTCCAGGGATGTATTTGTATTTTAAAGCTTTGTGTTCCTTTTCTTTAGTGATTCACCATAGTGTTTTTCAAAGTAGCAAGCATGGATGGTGGCACAGAAAGTTCTGCAGCACAGAAAATAATGGTGTATGTATCTGACTATTTGTTTGTACCTCTGTGATCATAGAATCATAGAATCATAGAATGGTTTGGGTTGGAAGGGACCTTAAAGATCATCTAGTTCCAATCCCCCTGCCATCAGCAGGGACACCTTCCACTAGAACAGGTTGCTCAAAGCCTCATCCAGCCTGGCCTTGAACACTTCCAGGGAGGAGCATCCACAACTTCCTTGGGCAACCTGTGCCAGTGTCTGACCACCCTCACAGTGAAAAACTTCAGCAAGAAATTGATACGGGGTCATTTACATTTCAGAATATACAATTGACACTGGTTATAGGAGAAAAGAGGATTTTCGTTAGATTTCTGGTGTAGCTGTGGAGTGGTGCATTATTTTAACTTCTTAAAAATCATTTGAGTTGCTTAATTACAGTTTAAATAAGTAAAGAGGTTTGAGAATCACTGATTATGTAGGAGCTGGATGCACCCCAAAGTGAACGGTGGGGGAGGGTTTCAGTATGTGATTTTAAAAAGATGAAGTAACAAGTACTCTCTTCTGTCAGAGTACTAGCTTAAGACCTCCTTGAATGTTACAAAGAAATAAAAGCAGCCCAGCATCCTCTCACCTTCTTCACAATGATGACCTTTAAATCCAAGAGGGCAAAGGCAAATGTATGAATCCGCTTTGTTCGCAGTACAGGTGCCACTGTTGATGCAGGCAGCCTCATCACAGATGCCACTGCTACACTCACCTAAACACAGAGCCAGGACATTGATTGATCAGAGACGTTTGTTAAAGAAGATTTATTTGGCTGTTGATCATTGTTACTAACCAATACAATTTGCTCTCCTGCATAGATTCTTTCCCCATTTGTCAAATGCTGTGCAATTTAGACAAGGTAACTTTATTTTTAGCACTTTTTATAGTATCAGACCAGGAAAAGACCTTAAAAATAGCAAAAATTAGCCCTTGCTTATAAATCAGGACACTTGTAGCTTTCAATCATTCCCTGGATCACTTTTCTTTTGCTCTTGTTCATATCTTTATTTTCTCATAAAAGAGAAATCTCTCCAGATTGTTTACAAGCACTGTGACTAGTTTAATTTCAAATACCTTAATAGCTTCTTTGTTGACTGTAAATTCATGCTATGGTAAGCACAAAAGGTGTTAATCATCATCAACTAATCTTATTAACTAAAATGAGGTTGTCAGCCCTCCGGTCTGCATTAAAAGGGATCCATATCATCAGCATATGGGCTTTTTAGAGAAGCATTTCTACTATGCCGGCCCATCAACTAAAATAACAAGGAGATTATTTCTTTTTTCTGGAATTGAGATGAAATTCTTGTAGAACAAATAATTTCCTTATTTACTTCTTAAAACTCCTATCTATAAATTTAAATTATGCAATGGTCAAATGTACATCTGACAAAGTTCTTGTCAATTTTGTTTGCTTTCTCCTTTATTTTAGTTTCTGATTAAATAATTCTCCCCTCATTAACAATAATAAACTGATTTCATATATTAAGAAAGCTCAAATAAGACATTTGTGGTGTACAAGTGCTAGGATGTTATTTGGAGGAGCAAAGTGTTCATGACAGATAGAATTGTACATCTATTTTGAGCAGCACACCTCTGAGATGACACAGGTGTTATGATGCAGCTTTGACAAAAAACACTGAAGAACAGTTTTGTTATCTGAGATGACTGAGGAAATCTTGCAAAACTACTACAAGAAGGGGATATACCATTTTTGTTTTGTTTAAATACAGCACTCTGACTGTAGAGACATTTTCCAGACTGGGACTCTACAAATCTGCAATAAGGCACTGGTGTTAGTACAGTGCCAGCTTTAGAGTTTGGCACAGAGAAGTATACAGATGTCAGTGGTTGATGTGCTGGTTCATCCCAATCACTCTGCTGTCCATGGTGGAAAATGACCTTTTCTCTCCTATGGAGGATGGAGGCAGTAATAACTCTGGGGTGATCTGGTACAACTTCCTGACAGACCAGACTTGTCTCCTACTGCACATCTACAGATCTCCTGCCAGGCCCATTTTTCCTTGTAGAGAGGGAAGGTTCGAGTACAGCACTCATAATGCAGGGCTTCAGGGCTAACCCAAGGAGCATAAGAAAAATATAAGTTCTTCAGAAGGGAACAAGTTCTTCTTCCATGTGGAAGGGGACAATTACCCCTTCAAATGGGGCTGCTCCCAGTTGTGGGAGCAGGGGTGCTTGCAGTGCTCATTGAGCCATCTTTTTGCTTTCTGGGATAGATTGTAATGGCCACGGTGAACCGGAGCATGATGGCTATCTAGTCTCTGAGATCCCTCACACACTCATCAGTTATAATGACACTGACAGAAATGAACAGCACTAGCTCTGTTTTATGATGAGGAAATAGAGCCAAGAGACGTGGCTAAACAAGGATCTAGATGTATCACGTTTGAGACACAAACAGAAAACTAAGACGATGATCATCTTTACTGCATCTGCTGCACTATTAGTCAATGCTGGCAGTATTTTCAAACACATCAAAGTTAAAGTCTTTGAGAAACAGAAAAGGAAGATAACAATAGTGGGACAAGTCATGGGCTCACTGGTTTGAGAGACAGCTAGAACTGGAGCAGTCTTGGTATTTAAAGACAGGCTGCTCTCACAATGTCTCAGTGACTTATAACAGCATTTGGGCCAGCACAGGAGACTACATCAAAAAGTCAAACCACATGTCTGATGGCTGCGTCTCCTTGGGTGCAGCGGCAGATGAGGAAGAGGGAAGCTGCAGCAGGAGTACAGGGTCCTGCGATGCCTGCTCCGAACCAGGAACACTGCCTCCCTCATCAGCCCCTTAGCTCACGGTCCAGTGGGACTTCTACTGCAGCTGGCAGAGATGGTGCAGGGGAAGGATGGACCCCTTTCCTCCCCACCCTCAATTCTGCGGTCCATTTACCACAACACCTCTGATCTATACACTGTGCCAACAGCAAACAAAAGACTCACTAGCAAAACACATTCCTAAACCCTAGTAGAGTTCACTTGCAATTTATTTATTTTTAAGCTTAATTTATATGGTATATCATTTGCAAGTCTCTCCTGGTACAGTTTCATATAAGTGTGTGCAGCCATGTAAGGACAGTAAGTCTCTGTCACTCAATTTCAAGTCACACATGGTAGAACCCAACATTTATTTTCATTGATGTTGATTGTTAATGCAGTAGTATGTGAAACATTCATAGACAGGAATGAAGCTAGCTGCAACCCAAAAGGCAATAGAGATTAGGGCTCAGAGAACTTCATCAGGGCTTTCATCTGTTTAAATTCCATAGATTCTCACTCTATTGTGAAATTACTCTCTGCTTCCAAAGTCTTATTCTTTTCAGCATCTGTTTCTTGGGCCGCTCTGTTCTCCCTGCCCTGTATTGCACAGAAGTTTGGTCAAGTTATCTAGAGAATACAGAGTGATTGTTACGAAGTTTCTCATTAATCACTTCCTCTTGGGATACCAAAGGCATAGCTATAAACGAGAAGAAAGATGACTTTGTGGCTGAAGCATGGGACAGAGAGTTCAGTGATATGGGATCTATTTCCTGCCTTTACCACTTGCTTTCTGACTTGGATTTACTCTTATTCTTAAACTGTTTAGACTAGGAGGTCATTAAAACAACAATTTTGTTGCCCTGTCTTTTTTTCAAGTGCTAATTACATGGATGAAATAGACATGAATAAATAAGGCAGGACTAGTTAATTAACTTCCCTACTTCTTCACCTTTTAACCTGTGAAGAGGAGATAATGTTATAATACCACTTCAGAAAGCTGTTGAAAGAATTTATTCCACGGTATTTTAAAATCACACTAGAATTTAAAACAATGGATGCCCGACAGGAAAGCCTACTTGCCTCAGCAGCAATGAGGTTTCATGGGGAAAATCCCTTTGTAATGGCCACAGCACTGCTGTGGGTCTGAAAGATCCCTCCATTGCTTTGGACAAGTGCAACGATGTCTTTAGGCAAAACACATTTTGTTGTGTTCATAGTGTTTTAAATACAAACACAGCGTGTATACTATTGATTTCTGACAACATGACTGTGTCAGTCAGGAGCACGAAGAGGCATCCTGAGAGATGTTGGCAGAAATACTGGTGCAGACATAATTATGTCAGCAACACCGCGTTTCCCTTTTGCTCATGAGACTGGTTTTACTATTGTGCTGCATAACTGCGTCCACAGGGGTTTTTTGTATACTACAGTGATATTCACCTGTACGATGTGACAAAACTCTCCTACTACAGATCCAGCAAAAGCAATGTGCAAAGGCACAGAGAAATACCATGCCACAAATAGAGACCACACCTTCCATCTCTCAAACCTGAACCATTGCTCAATTTTTTTCAACAGGCAAAAAAAGTAACTCCTAATTTATCACTGATTGAACACTCCATACCATTACACTTACCGACATCAGCACCACTGAGAGATTTGCCTAATGGCCAGGGTCTCATATCAATTATTTTTCCGTTGATGCTGAGAGACTGAACGCAGCCCTGAAACCCACGATTGGTGCCTGCAGCTCTGACCAGCCAGTACACGCTGGGGGCACCGCCAACGTACAAGGGAGTCCGGAACGTAATTTTACTATATTGGCCCTAAAGGGAAAACAGAGGACGACGTGATGTAGAACAGACATAACACACGGTAACTAATTAAGCCATACTGTGTATAATCAATTTTTTTTTTCTCCACAAAGAATTGTGTCAGGGGATATGCAGGTTGCTCATGGGTAATTCCTTTCCATTAGTCATTCCTCTACTCAGTCTGTCACTTAAAATGTCACTTTTTGCACCTGCATCCATCATGATAACATGCACTATTTAATGCAAAATTAAAAGGTTAAAAATCACTATGTTCTGAAGAGGGATTGTGATCTGTCCTTTGCTGCAGTTTCTTCCTTTACTTTTGCCAAAATTGTTTCTTTTCTAAACTCTGAGCCCTGTGGGACACACACCAATGGGATATTGCCTTTTGGACAGAACCCAGCAAGTGCTTAGTGTTGAATAATAATAAAATCACAAAACCCCCATGTATTGGGTTTGCATGGCAAGG